TAAAGCTCTTATGTCTCTGACTGTTGAGTTTTAAAGCTCCTTCCAAGCCCAGATGGTTGTGGTTGTGGCTGCTCCCAGGAGATGCTGATTTCAGTCTCTCTCTTGAGGTCAGCGGGTTTTCTTGTGAGCTTTGAACTTAGGCAAGTCAAGTTGGAGACGAATGAGCTGGGGGTGTTGCTGTTGCTGTTTGAAGTGTAAATAAGGGACTGAAGGATGCTGATTTCCACATTTAGCCTCCTATAACCTCTCTGCACCTCAGTTCCATTGCCCTGAATGTATCCTTCAGGACCACGAAGGCTCCGGCTGCTCAGGAGATGTGTGCCATGTAAAGAGCAGTGTCCAGGATGCAGATGACCTCCCGGGAGACAACATTCTGTCCTCTCAGCAGAGCCTTACCACTGGTAAAAGCAAACGTTCCCTACTCACCAGCTGCCCAACACAGCTGCAGAGTGGGTGAGTCTCCTCCATATTTGCACAGTGATCAGCTAAAGGGAAGCAATCTCCCGAGGCCCTCCCATAAATAAACATGATTAGTAACAATTAAAACCCCATTACAGCTCTAATTACAGCCAATAGAATGCCACCTGGATTCATTCCCCAATAAGCTCGTAAAATATCGCACCTATCACGTTGCTTTCTGTGTTCTAATGCAAGGAATATTGCACCATTCACACTCAGGTTATGGGATAGACACCTATCTGCTCTCCCCTGCTCCCAGCAGCATCCTGCACGTGCAACCTCAACGTCCAGGGCTACCTTCACACTCAATGAGTCCTGCTATTCCTCCAGTGCATGGCCAAGGCCCTCTTTGGCTCCCAAAGGGCTCTGCAGTGTTCACCCAGTTTTGCTTTTGAGATCTTCTTTGTGTTCCACCTCAACAAGACTTGATGGAACTAAGAGTGTCCCATCAGAGGGACCAACTGCCCTCCAAGCCATAGGGCATGTGGGTCTTGCACTAGACCCACACTTGGTGGCTGGGCAGATCCACCACCCCAGCCTGCACCTCAGAACCCCACATTACTCAGACTCAGCGATAGAGGCTCAGTGGTAGAACCATCTGCCACCTCACTGTGAACTCCAATCTCAGCAAAGCAAAACTGATGTGAGGACACAGGCAGGTTCCCAGAGCACCCAACCCGAACCCAGGGGGGCTCCCGGGGCAGGTTTTGTATCACCACAGATTGTGCCTTTTCCTGTAGAAAAACAGGACTTACAAACCAAAAAATTCCACAATAATTCAGTATTTTTTTATCCTTTATGTCCAAAATGGCAACAGCTTTACCTAGAAACACTGAGGAAGTGTCATCACTTGGTCACACTGAGGCTGTTTCACAAGGAAATTCACTCATTCGAAGCAAAACAGGCCCCTTGCTGCAAATATGGATCTACTGGTCCACAGGAGCAAGCAGCCACCCCAGTGCCACGTGGAGCAGATGAAGGGCAGCCTTCATGGGCTGCTGTGATCATCCATCCGAGCGTGAGGCACTTGGGCAATTAATGTTACTGCCTTTTTCATGAGCACAGCAGATGGGAAAGATAAACTCCGTGTTAGAGCCTGGAAAAACTCCAGGACAAACTCAGGGAACTCTTGAAAGCCTGTGGTTTCCTGCAGGGTGCAGCCTGCATCCGTGGCCTCCTGGGGTTCGGCACCTGGAGATCTTCCACCTCTCTGCCATCCTCCCAAGGAACTCCCCAAGGATGCACTAGGGCTTTGCACCACCTTGGTCTGTCCTTGGAGTCCTTCCTGGGATGAGGAAGGAGGAGATGCCTCCTTGGTCTCTCCCATCCCAACCCATAAACTTGAGAATCAGAAGTGCCATTGTTTAGGCAAGCAAGAGCATGAGGCACATCGCAGCCTGTTGGAAACAGCAGATGAGGGAGTCACCTGAAAGAATATGTGGAGGAAAAGAAGATCAGCATGAAAGTAACATTGGAACCATAGAATCCCAGACTGGTTTGGGTTGGAAGGGACCTTAAAGCTCACCCAGTTCCAACCCCCTGCCACAGACCTTCCACTAGACCCATTTGCTCTAAGCCCTGTCCAACCTGGCCTTCATCACTGCCCGGGATGGGGCAACAGCTCAAACAAGAACCATCATTTCTCTCTCATTTCTCTTCGATGGGCAGGCCTCTGTGAGATGGATCTTCCCCACTTCCATACCTCCATCTGACCAGGACAACATGCAGGGCTCAGTGCAGCCGGGGTTGATTCACCCACCAGCCTGGCTCTCGCTCCTCCCACCGCTGCAGGAGAGCCCAGCCAAGCGTTAATCAAATTAATCTGGTTGCAATGGGGTGTTATTTATGAGGTCTAATGACTAACCTGGAGCTGTAATAGCAGGTTCCAGGTTGTCTCATGCTTTCACGCTGCTTTTCTTCGTGAGTAATTTGTGTCCACGCAGCGTCTTCAGGTGCTGGTGTCCATGTAGGAGCCCGGCTCGTCAGGTAGATGGTGCTGCTTGCCCTTGTGCCAGCCAAGGCTGGAGGACAACCACTCTTCCCTCTGCAGACCTCCGGTTGGTGTCCTCCAACCATCACATCCCGGTGGCCACATTCAAACTGCCACCATCCAACTGCCAGATCCCAACAGCCATGTTCAAACCAGTCCTAGTTCAGCTGCCACATCCCAATGGCCACATCCCAATGGCCACATCCCAATGGTCATGTCTAAACCACCCCAGTCTAACCAGCACATCCCAACAGCCATGTTCAAACTGCCACATCCCAATGCCCGTGTTCAAACCACCACATCCCAAAAGCCACATTTAAACCATCACATCCCAATGGCCATGTTCAAACCACCCCAGTCCAACCACCACATCCCAATGGCCATGTTCAAAGCACCCCAGTCCGACCACCACATCCCAACAGCCATGTTCAAACTGCCACATCCCAATGCCTATGTTCAAACCACCACATCCCAAAAGCCACATTTAAACCATCACATCCTAATGGACGTGTTCAAACCACCCCAATCCAACCACCACATCCCAATGGCCATGTTCAAACCACCCCAGTCCGACCACCACATCCCAATGGCCATGTTCAAACCACCCCAATCCGACCACCACATCCCAAGGGCCATGTTCAAACCACCCCAGTCCGACCACCACATCCCAATGGCCATGTTCAAACCACCCCAATCCGACCACCACATCCCAATGGCCATGTTCAAACCACCCCAATCCAACCACCACATCCCAATGGCCATGTTCAAACCACCCCAATCCGACCACCACATCCCAAGGGCCATGTTCAAACCACCCCAGTCCGACCACCACATCCCAATGGCCATGTTCAAACCACCACATCCCAACTGCAATGTTCAAACCACCCCATCCCAACAGCCCCTTTAAAACCAATACCAGTCCAGCTGTCACATCCTAATGGCCATGTTGAAACCACTCCATCCCAACAGCCATGTTCAGACTGCCCCAATCCAGCTGCCACAAGTACCATGTTCCAACCATGTTCAAACCACTCCATCCCAACAGCCATGTTCAGACTGCCCCAATCCAGCTGCCACAAGTACCTTGTTCAGACCATGTTCAAACCATCATGTTCAGACCACCATTTTCAAACCATTACATACAAACCATCATGAGCAAACTGCTCTCATTCATTGCCACGTCCCAACCACAATATCATAGAATCATGGAATGATTTGGGTTGGAAGGGACCTTAAGCTCATCCAGTCCCAACCCCCTGCCACAGGCAGGGACCCCTTCCACTGGAGCAGGGTGCTCCAAGCCCCTGTGTCCAACCTGGCCTTGAACACTGCCAGGGATGGGGCAGCCACAGCTTCTCTGGGCACCCTGTGCCAGCGCCTCAGCACCCTCACAGGGAAGAGCTTCTCCCTTATCTCCAACCTGAACTTCCCCTGTTCCAGTCTGAACCCATCACCCCTTGTCCCATCGCTCCAGTCCCGGATGCAGGTCCTTCTCCAGCATCCTTGTAGCTCCCTTCAGATACTGGAGTGTCCCCACTGGTGGCCCTGTCTGCCTTACTCGTGTGGCACCCATCAGCTGAGGGCTGGACACTTCATCCTGCTCTGTGTGGAATGAGCCCAATCCCCTCACCTCATGGCCACCAGGTTGACATCCCATGTCCCCTTCCTGTGCCACACTCCTCAGAGCCATGGCTCTCCCACCCCACAGAGAGATGGAGAGGCTACTGTGGAGGAGCAGGAGGAGGGAGAAGAACCATCTTCCTCCTCCTCCCCTCAGCTGGGCAGTTCTTGGTGCTCAGTGATCTGAACCATGGGACAGGGCACCATTGCCATTCCTTATGGTGAAGACACCATTGCCATTCCTTATAGTGAAGGCACCGTTGCCATTCCTTATGGTGAAGAGCAAAGGGTGTTTTCCCTCCCCTGGGGACCATTAAGTGATGAGACAACACAAAGAGATCTTTTCATCTGTCTGCAGTTTATTGGTAATGAAGAACTCGGAGGAGAGGGGTGCTGGTAGGAAGCAGCCATGCAGCAGGGTTCACGCAACAGAAGGGCTGCAATAAGGCCATGCATACGTCAGGTGTGAAGAAGAGGGAAAGGGATCTATAAAACATTAAAGCTGCCAAATTACTCCACCGAGGCGAGGTGGACATCTCAGAGACCTGTTTCTCACTCCCAACTCTGACTATGAGACATTATCACGTTTCTTCTGCTTACATGAGTGCCTGATAGAGCTGAAACAAGCATGTGGGTGACATGCAGGACACGCGGAGGCGCAGGGGACACGCGGCCGTTGAAAAAGAGACCTTGAAAAGTGACAGGAAAGAGCCCTTTTCGACACGCTCCTCCTCAGCCACAGCAGCAGCCGGGGGGGCAGCAGCAAGAAGCGCAGCGAGGGATGCTCAGACGGGCGCTGGAACGCACAGGGGAGATCTTCCACCCCTGGAGCTGGTGGGGTTCCACTGCAGACCCCCCCTCCTTGGGCAGGGTGACTTCTGAGCTATAGGGGGGAACAGTTCATTTCGTTGCTGGGCACCGGTGAGGGTGGCAGGGGCTGTGCTGCGGGCTGGAGGGAGGGGACGGCGCTGCTCTCCTTGGTGGGGCTGAGGGCAGGGCTCAGTATTTCACACCCGAGGATTTGACTGTCGTGGTGGTGACGCATCTCCGCACCGAGGAGGATCCAGCCCCGGGCATGAAGTTGCCACCTCCAGGGTTGCAAATCCTCCCGCTTCCAGAGGAGAAGCCGCTGGTGAGGATCGCTCCTCCCAAGCCACAGTTGCCTCCGATGATGTTGGGTGCTCCGACCACGCACACTCCTCCTCCCAAGCCATTGCTGGGGCTAAAGCCGCAGGGTCTGCCTCCGACCACGGAGCCTTTGCCTACCACAGCTGCAAGACAAGGACCAGCAGAAGGGAAGATGGGCAGATACTTACAGACATTGACGTTGGACATGCCATCGTTGCACAGCCTGTGAGGGAAAGGAGCACAAGTTGTAAACCTGATCTAATAGACAGCAGTTCAGCTCCATACAACCTCCAAGCCAATGCAGCTCATGGTTATTCCTGTTGCATTTAACAGAACAAATGAGGTGAGGAACAAGCATTCCCATGGGGACCTATGTGCTATTTTAGGCTAAAAACTTAGGAGCACCCAACTGGTTTGAGATTCACCTTCAGATAAAAGGGCTCAACCTGTCCCAGGGAATACCTCAGCCAGGACAACAGGACAGGAGCTCTTACCTGTTCTCCTCTCCCTCCAGCAGCTTCCTGTACATGGCAATCTCAACGTCCAGGGCAATCTTGATGTTGAGCAGCTCCTGGTACTCCTTCAACAAGCGAGCCAGCTCCTCCTTGTCTTTGCTCAGGGCACATTCCAGCTCTTCCAGTTTCCTCCTGGCATCCTTCAGGGCCATCTCACCCCGCTCCTCGGCCTCAGCAATTGCTGACTGCAGCTGATGGTTCTGAGAGAAAGAAGAGCAGTTTCTCAGTGCCCTCAGGGCACAAACGGGATGGAAACAGGCAGGAACCATCAATCTGCTCCAAAGGAACTGAATTCCAATGACTGTGTTTCCCTCACACGCTCCTCCCTGGCTCACCACGATGATGCTGAGGAGCCCCTACCTGCTTCTTGACGTTCTCAATCTCAGCCCGCAGCCTCTGCACGTTCCTGGTCAGCTCCTGGATCTCAACCTTGGTGTTGCGGAGGCTGTCCCCGTGCCTTCCAGCAGTGTTCTGCAGCTCTTCATACTGATGGCACAAAGCAACCCATCGGTGACACCAAGAACTCAGCTGGCTCCTCTGCTCTGCATCCAACAGCAGAAACTGTTCCAGGAGCCTTTACTACATCACAACTCACCCTGCTCTGGTACCAAGCCTCAGCTTCAGCTCTGCTGTTCTGGGCGATCTGTTCATACTGGCGTCTGACCTCCTCGATGATGCTGTCCAGGTCCAGGTGCCGGTTGTTGTCCATGGACACCACCACGGACAGGTCCCGGCTGATGGTCTGCATCTGAGCCAGCTCCTACAACCAAGACAGCAGTCAGCCTGAGCATCTGAGGAGGGCACAGAGGAGCAGCAGCTCCAAGCAGCCTCTGCAGACCAAATCCAATGGACACCCAGTCCCACCCCAGTGTCTTTGGCCACCACATTGCAACTGCAGCCAGCTCATGGGTAGGGGAAGCTCTTACCTCCTCATAGATGCACCTCAGGAAGTTGATTTCATCTGTCAGAGCTCCCACCTTGGCTTCCAACTCTACTTTAGTCATGTAGGCACAGTCCACATCCTAAAGGAAAGATCACAGATACATCAGCTTCCTCCCACCCCAGCACCATCCTGTTGCTTCCCCTTTCCAACATCTTTGCTCCTCCTCTGGGAGCTGCTGTTACTCAGCCTTGCTTAGCACCAAAGACTTCAAACATCAGCAGCCACGCCTATCCTGATTTCCACTTCATACCTATTGAAGCACCAGAACACATGAGCAACCTCTCTAGTGTGTGTGAGCACCCTTAAGCCCACAAACTCGTGGCAGAGGCTTGATTTCTTCTTCATACCTTCCAAGTAAACCAGGCTATAAGTCTCTTGCACTCATCAGTCAACCACAGAACCCCTCTTCCCTCAGCCCCATTTCTCCAGAGCTCCTCAGCAATGGGAAGCCTGTGGGAATGCCCAAGCTCTGCTCTCCAGGCTGCTTGAGCTCCTTCCTGAGCCTGCCAGGGCACTTACTTGGTCTTGTACTCCTCCACGTATTGCTGCATGTTCTGCAGCTCCGACTCGAGCTGCCCCCTCTGTCCCAGGATGGAATCCAGCCTCCTCCTCAGGTTCTGGATGTAGTTTTCAAAGATGGTGTCGAGGTTCTTCCTCGGCCCTGATGGTCCTTGCTGCTGGAGCAGCTCCCATTTGGTGGCCAGGACCTTGTTCTGTTGCTCCAGGAAGCGGACCTGAAAGCCCACCAAGGGATGTGTGAGATTCATATGGGGAGCATCACACAACTCAAACCTCCTCTTGCTGATGTGGGAGACCAAGGGAATCACTTCCCAGATCCCCACTATGACTATGGCTGGTTAAAAGCCACTTTCCAAGAGGAAGATTCCTCATTTCTTCCTCCTTTTTTTCAACTATCCTTGAATTTCTCCTCTTTTCTCCTTCATTTCTGCTCTACTTTGGTTCTCTATGGGAACATCACATTCCAGTATTACAGTTTTGTCATTTCCAATTGCAAATTCTGATCTGGAATTCATTTCCGGAAGCATCAGATCATCACTTTTACCTTCCAGTGAAAGAAATCCCACATCAGGATCTCAATAGTGGAAAACATTCCTCCTCTTAGCAGATACGAGAGGAATTCAGTATTCATGTCATGCATTGAAACAACTCTGAAGCATGTTCTCAACCAACATTCTCTCAGTGCAGGAACAATAAAGAGTACTCAACTGTACTTGAACCGAAGTAAAGAACAGCCAGGAATGAACTCAAAGCCCTTCCTGACATTCCCGAGTCCCTCAAGAAGAACAAACCCTTGAAAAGCATGAACTTAAAGGATAACTGAGTGTATCACGACCACTTTGGCCTCAAAGAACACAAGAGAAAAGCAAAGCAAGAGGTTGGATCAACCAAACCCAGAGAAAGTCCTTTGGTTTCTCTGTGGATGGAAGGTTATTACATTGCCTCAGGACTCAGTGCAAGCACCACCAGCCTTCCAGAGCTGCCCACACGGAGCTGTGAAGGACAGTATTCCCCTCTCCACAGCACAGGAAAGCTCCTCAGAGTCCCCATCCCCAAGCAAATACAGTTCCAGCCTCTCACCTTGTCAATGAAGGAGGCAAACTGATTGTTAAGAGTCTTGATCTGCTCCTTCTCCTGGTTTTTCACTTGCTGGATTTGGGGATCGATCTCAACATGGACCGGCCGCAGGAGGCTTGAGTCAACCTGCACCGGCTGGATGCCTCCAGGGAACCCAGGACCACCTCTCACAGGACCACCAAAGCCACCTATTCCTCCACCAATGATACCTCCTCCAATGCCGCCAAATCCTCCTCCAAAGCCTCCACCAAAGCCACCAATTCTACATCCATATCCATTCTGCCTCCGTATCCTCCACCACCGTAGCATCCACCCACAGCAATTCTTCTGCTGCCACCCATGTTATGGAGGCTCCTGCTGCTAAAATCTGCACAACGTCCATTGCCTCCAAATCCCCTGGATGTGGAGAACGAGCTATAGCTGATCCTGCTTCTGCCCCCACATCCTCCAAAGCCACCACCGATGGCAGAGCAAGAGCTGTAGCCCCTTCTGCTCCCGCCTCCAAAGCTTCTGCAGACAGACTGCCGAGACATGGCCGGTTCTTCCAAGTGGAGTCGAGGAGAGCAGAAGGACCAAGGGAGCTGTGCTGCTGCGGGATGAGCGCGGAGAGAAGTGTGCACAGTCTTCTCTGGCTCCACAGCTCCAGGCATTCCCTTTTATCTGTTCCTGGAGGTGGGCTGGGGAGCAATGGTTGCAATGGTTAGCACTGGGAGCAATGGTTGGCACTGGGAGCAATGGCTGGCACTGGGAGCAGTGGCCGGCACTGGGAGCAATGGTTTGCACTGGGAGCAATGGTTTGCACTGGGAGCAGTGGTTAGCACTGGGAGCAATGGCTGGCACTGGGAGCAGTGGCCGGCACTGGGAGCAGTGGCTGGCACTGGGAGCAATGGCCGGCACTGGGAGCAGTGGCCGGCACTGGGAGCAATGGCCGGCACTGGGAGTGGTGGTTAGCACTGGGAGCAATGGTTGGCACTGGGAGCAATGGTTAGCACTGGGAGCAATGGTTAGCACTGGGAGCAATGGTTAGCACTGGGAGCAATGGTTGGCACTGGGAGCAATGGCTGGCACTGGGAGCGGTGGTTAGCACTGGGAGCAATGGTTAGCCTGGGGAGCAGTGGTTAGCACTGGGAATTCATTCACTCTCAGACCAAACTCTTACTGAGAGTCCCGGAGTCCTCCTGCCAAGCCATTCCCAGCACCATGACAAATCCCTTCAGGACTTTCCAAAGGCTCCAATGCCACGAGAAGAGCCAGAGAAGACACGGGCAATCCCGCTGCTCCAGTGGGAAGTGCGGACGGACGCACGGCTCTGAGAGCAGACACTGAGGAGGAGGCATGCCAAAGCCAGAAGGAAGCCTTTAGCTATTTGCATGCGATTATGTAGTCAGAGGGTGGAGGAGAGCTCAACCCGTCTGTAGACCCATGGAGATGAGGAGAACGGAGGGCGCAAGCCCTTGCACTGGAGGACACGGGTGCTTTGGGGCTCCTGGCTCTCTTTGGGGGTGATATGCAGATGCCTCCTTGGCAAACACACACGTGTCTGTGCTGAGCCCTGAGGAGCAGGGGCAGGTTTCCCTTTGTGAGCACAATCAAAAGCAAGCACCAGGCTTTAGGAGCTTAGAGCGCTCCAGGTTTGCTGCCGTCCTGGGATAGCTCCTGAGCTGAACTGAACCAAGCCTCTGAGCCCTCCTGCGCTCACCCGCGTGGCTGGGAAAGGCTGTTTGTCAAAGGGCACTTTGTGTCCTGCTTTAAAACTGAGGATTTCCTTTCATTTATGAGTTTTCAGCCTTTTAAAGGCCTTCTGACAGGCTTCCAGGGCCTCAAGGGGCTGCAGGGAACCTGCAGAGGGGCTTTGGACAAGGGCCTGTAGGGACAGGCCAAGGGGAATGGCTTTAACCTGCCAGAGGGGAGACTGAGATGAGCTCTTAGGCAGAAGCTCTTCCCTGTGAGGGTGCTGAGGCGCTGGCACAGGGTGCCCAGAGAAGCTGTGGCTGCCCCATCCCTGGCAGTGCTCAAGGCCAGGTTGGACACAGGGGTTTGGAGCACCCTGCTCCAGTGGAAGGGGTCCAGGTTGGAGCTGGAGGAGCTTTAAGATCCCTTCAACCCAAAGCATTCCATGGTTCCATGATCTTTATGACTGTTGAGGCACCCAACTGCGCTGGCAGCTCTCTAGCAACATTCCCAGGAGTTCCCGACACCAGCAATTAAACACAGCTTGAAAATCCACACCAGCAACTCTGGTATCTTCTGATGTTTAAATACCTCTAAAAATACCACCCAGACACCCAACTGCAGCAGTGCTGAGGGACCCGGGATGTGCGGATAAACCGGCATCTCCATTGGGAAACAACTGCCCCCATACCCCTGCTCATGCCACCACCTTCCTCAGCACCAGTGTGGGTCCGTGAGCACACAGGGAAGCACATCAGGGGGATAAATAGGGATAAATACATCTATATATAATAAGATGTCAATGTGGGACCAAAGGGATGGGGTGGGCAGGGGCTTGGTGGTTGCACATCATGGTTTGTAGACAATAAATACACACATGGACAATGACCATGGTGGCTGAGGAGGTCCCATAGAGCTCGTTGGTGTCCAACAAGACCCCTAAATGCTACAGTTGCCTGCCCAGCCTGGGAGGTTCTGAAGCACAGCCTCAAACAGCACCCAACAAACGTCTGGTCCCCCCTTGGGGTGAAAGCCAACAGCGTCCATCCAGCTCCTCTCCCATCCAGAGGAGAGGCAAATCACTGGCAAGACCTCAGGGTGCAGGAGGGTGCTGTGGGGTTGTAGCTGCTGTAGGTACAACCGTGGATGTAGACACACACATTGGACAATTCTTGCTGCCTTCGGTGTTAGCAAGCATGAAGTTGTGTTTTTTAGGGGGGTTTTGATGTTTTTTAACTTTTCTAGAGGTTTTTAAGTGTTTTTTAACTTTTCTGAGGTGTTTGGGTTTTGGGTTTTTTTTGATGAGTTTTAACTTTCTGGGGTGTTTTTTGTTGGTTTTTCTCTTCCCCAGGGGTGGGAAGAGCTGATGAGGACGGTTCCATGGCCCTGGTTGGGAGGAGCAGGGTGAAGCCATGGCGACGCTGGAGCCCCGCGTGGTGAGATAACGTGTTCGTGTTCGTTGAGTCACGGCCACATCAGCCAAGTTTGGGAAATCAAAGTGGGATTTGGCTATCGACGGCATCACCCGGTGCAAACGCAAGAGGCAGCTTTAGGCTGCAGGATTCTCACACGGCGTCGCTGTACCCAGAGCCCCAGTGAAGCAAAATGACCTTTAAAGGGCTTTTGTAACCCAAATTGTTCTGTGAGTCTATGGAAAAGGGGCTGCAGGAAACCTGGAGAGGGGCTTGGGACAAGGGATATAGGGACGGGCCAAGGGGAATGGCTTCAACCTGCCCGAGGGGAGACTGAGATGAGCTCTGGGGCAGAAGCTCTTCCCTGTGAGGGTGCTGAGGCGCTGGCACAGGGTGCCCAGAGAAGCTGTGGCTGCCCCATCCCTGGCAGTGTTCAAGGCCAGGTTGGACACAGGGGCTTGGAGCACCCTGCTCCAGTGGAAGGGGTCCCTGGAGCTGCATTGGAGCTGGGGGAGCTCTGAGGTCCCTTCAACTCAGCCCAATCCATGGTTCTACACAAATAAGCAGGCAGGAACACAGGAAAAGCTGCTCAGGCCTTGAAAACGAGGTGGAAAAGGCTCCTTTCAGCAGCCTTAACGTTGATCAGCGTGCACTGAACTTGAACCATGGAAGGGAGAATATGGGGGGGGAAGAGCAAAGCCAAGCATTTATTCCCACACTTCCCATAAGCTACTTGCCATCCAAGTGCTTCAGAAGAAGCCTTTAAAACATGAGCAGACGAAACCAAACCTATTTCAGGTCACATTTTCCCCCTTCCAACACAAGGCAGAATCCTGGCCCATTCCCATCCCGCCCAGCAGAATTCCCCCGCGTTGCTGGTGCAGCCTTAGGACCAGGAAGCAAAGAGGGGCTCGGTGTCTGGATTCGTTTGCAGCCATCCAGAAGCCTTTGGGCTCTCCTCATCTCCCTGCCCTGCTCTCAGGAGCCCTTGGCTGGAGGTGAGTTTACGCAGCGGCAGCAGCATTGGGGTGGCTCTGCGGGAAGGAGCAGTCTCTTCAGTCAACGCCATCTCAGGTCCCTTTCCAACGCGCTGGAACACTCAACCATTGCCCAAACCCCATCCAAGTAGGGACTCGCCTTTGCTGGCAGCGTTGTGACATTCCGCAGTCTCCAGCGCTTACCGGCAGGGAACGGAGCTTGGGATAAATGGAGTGAGTCACCCCGGATCGCGGAGCGAGTCTGCGGTTGACCAGGGATGTGACTCAAGGTCTCCTGAGCAAGAGGTCAAACCACACCAAGAGGTTTTGGGGCTCTAAATGTGCAGATCATCACCTATAGTCTATGCTTGTGCAGAAGCAGGGGGGAGTTGAGGTCTTGCTCTTCCCATGGTCCCAGTTGACTTTGGAGATGCTTTAAAAGAGGATCACCGGCCTGTCCAAACAGCAGCAAAAGCTGCAGGGCTGGCTCCAGCATCATGGACACTGAGGAATTAGCTTGGAATTAGCTGGAGAGGTGAGGATCATCCTTCCCTCTCCCACACCGTCCCTTATAGGATGCTCCAAAAGCACTTCAGGCTGTGCAAGCTCCGTGGGCACCTACATGGGACCGCCTTGTAGGATAGGGAAGTCAATGGTGTGCTTGGAGGCTGGGATAAACTGGCTTGGGAATACACTGAGGTGGCCAGAATGAACCAGAATAAGGCTTAAGGCGGGAAAGGGGAAGGGAATGATCTCCTGACATCAGGTGAGTCCCAAAGTCTGCTGTGAGGGCAACAGCCTCTGTCCTGCAGGAGACCCAGCAGAAGGATGGAGATGAGCATCCGGGTTCAACCAGGACATAGAATCAAAGAACTATGGAATGGTTTGGGTTGGAAAGGACCTCAAAGCTCACCCAGTTCCCATGGGCAGGGACCCCTTCCACTGGAGCAGCTTGCTCCAAGCTGCTGTGTCCAACCCGTCCTTGATGGGATGTGGAATCCAAACCTTCTCCATTGAACCCATCCCAGTGTCCCAGCACCCTCACAGGGAAGAACTTCTCCCTTATCTCCAACCTGAACTCCCCCTGTTCCACTCTGAACCCATCACCCCTTGTCCCATCGCTCCAGTCTCTGATGCAGGTCCCTCTCCAGCATCCTTGTAGCCCCCTTCAGACACTGGAAGCTGCTCTGAGGTCTCCATGCACCCCTTCTCTTCTCCAGCCACCCCAACGCCCTTCACCCCTGTGAGACCCCCTTCACCCTCCCGCCCATGGCTCTGGGGCTACGCGCTCGCTTCGGCTCCTTTAAATGCACACCTCAAAGGGCAAGAGAAAGGCAGGTTTCACCGTCAGGGCTGAGCAGAAGAGGAGTCTTGTTGCAACACGAAACTCCTTGGTCAGAGAGAAAACCACACAGGGTGACTGCCTCTGGTGTTTATTGGGGTGGGCCTCATGCCAGAGGAGAAAGGCTTAAACAAACAAGCACGATGGTTCCCATGAGCACAGAGAGAAGGCAAAACCCTGCT